TCTCGCCTGGTCCATTATACTCCTGCTATGAGTGAAACCATCCGGTATTTTTCTTTCTCTTTCTGGCTTATCTCACTAAGCATGATCTTTTCCAGTCTGAGGATATTTTTTAAAGTTTGTGCAGATCCAGTCAGAGACTACCTCTCTGCTTTCCATCTTCACAGGTCAAGCAGTCTGCCCAAGGGCAGAACATGGATGGGACTGGAATAACCTTTCCTAACCTCTCTGTCTCTTGCTAGATTACTGGGGGGTTGAGGTGGGGGGTTTTCCCGGGCTTCCTTCTGAAACTTGGCCAGGAGAGCAGCGCTCTCCCAAGAGAGAGCCCACCAACTACTTCCTACCAAGCATCATGGAGGATACCAATGGCTGTTAGCTGCCACTCAGTCTTCTAGTATGTTTCTGAGGAGGGAGGGGCAGAAAACAGCGGGAGAGGAGTTTCAGCTATAGATTAGCCTCAGCCGGTACCACAGCAGGACTGAGACACCTCAGCTGGGTTTATGCAAAAATGCCTTCTGGCCTAAATGAGCTGGTTAATCCCAGCTGTCCATTTGTCTCCAATGACCTGCACAAAACACAAACTAGAAAGGCAAGCCTGCAGAGCCCTCAAGAATCTGGATAGGGTGGCAGGTGGCTGCTGCCCTGCTTCCACTCAGGCAATTCCAACATGCTAGGTGGAGAAAGCATGGTGATGCCAGTCACTTCCTCCCCTGCAGCCTGTTCCCAGACTTCACTGGGGGTTGGGGCAGGATGGGCTGAGAAAGAGTTATTGCTCTGAGTGCTGCCACTCTCAGGACAGAGGGCATCGAGGCCTACTAAGGCCCTCATCACGAGGCAGCCACAATGGACAGAAACCAGAGGCCTCCTCAGACGCAGGCCCGATTAGTTTTTCTTGTGAATCCCACCTGGGGATGACACAGAGGAGGTACCACTGCGGTCCTTTATAGACAGGATTTAAGAAATGCAGAGGTCAGGCCAACGCCAGACCTCTGGTGTCCCACACCAGCCCTGCAAAGAGCACTGTGACCAGGGCTCCGTAGACCCAACTGAGGCCCCCAACTGTCAAGGTGGAAACCTAGTGCCATGAGGTGGCCCCAGGACAGTGGGCATGCAGCCAGCCTAGCCATCACTTACCGTCTTTACTTTCCAGCACAGGTTCCCTAAGAGCATTGGCAGCAGGAGGCTGGCTCTGGCTGGGACTCTGAACTGGACTCAGGCTGCTCCCATCTGGCTGGTCTTTGGCTCTCATTTCTTCCTGCCAGAGTGTAGACTTGGTGGTGGGGACCTTCTCTGCACTGGGGATGCTGCTGCTGCTGCTGCTACTGCTGCTGGTGACAGCCACTTTGGCTGGGCCCGGTTCCTGGGGGCGAGAGTGGTGTCTGTGCAGGGCAGGAACATAGGGCCCAAGGCGGTGCACAGGTTCTGGCTGCTTGGGTGTCTGGCTACCTGGGATACCAAGGTCAACTACACAGTGCCCGGTACCGGAATCCCCAGAAGGGAATACTCAGAACAGACATTGTAGTCAGGATAAAAGCTCCTTTGTACAGCACCTTTTTACCTTTGCAGTCCCAGCCAAACACCCCCAAGTGTCTGACCTGACTGGCCTCAGACTAGACCTGGCAAATGCATGGGGCTTCTGCTTGGAGCCTTGTCATCAAACACACTCAAGTTCTACTTGCCCAGGCCAGAGAGAGCCCTAGGGGAGTGGATGGGTACTATGTGAAGGAAAGAATCATCAGATGCGGACCAAACATCCCACTCAAACCTGCAATCCTGCTCACCTGCACAAGCTAGAGAGGAGCCTGTCACCGATATGGGAATAGTATCAACCCTATTTCTCCCCAAGCCAGAACTGGTGGTGCTCCATGGGAAAAGCATTCTCAAGGGAGGCATTCAGCTAGACACAGGGTGTAATTTTGCAGTGGGGAATCTTAATATCACAAACCTAGAGCCCAGAGAGAGTCAGAGGCAGGACTCTGAGCTGCGTTACACAACCAGCTCATGGTCTAGCCAGTCCTCCTTTGCCCACCCCAGTATCCTGGGTGCCAGTTGCTGAGGGGTTCTTTGGCAGGATGCCTCTGGGCCCTCTCAAAAGTGAGACACATCTCAGCTCTCTTCCAAACATGGGGGATAACATACAAATGCCCACTTCTTACTCCTATCCCAATGCCAAACTTCATTATTAGAATCCCACCTCTGATTTGCACCTATGGTGAGGGTAGCAGATGACACAGGCTGTGTGTAAGTGTGCGCGTATATGCGAAGACCCAGCATCAGGACTACTGTCCCTCCAGCCAGCAGCCACCCTTACTTCATACCCCAGCAGTCACACTTCCCAAGAGAAGTCACTCCAGGTTCTTTTGTTCCTCCTGACAACCCAGGGTCTCCTGACAGAGGCCAGAGGCCAAGCACTACTCTGGGGCTGCGGGTAATGATGCCACGGCATTCCTTCCTGCCTGGGGCCGCCCAGAGTGGATTACTGTTCCTTCTCTCTAAGCACCTCAGTACCAGGAAGTCTGTCCTCTGCTGATGACAAGTGCTGAGTAGCAGCTGCTGCCAGGAGCCTATAGTGCTGCGTTCCCAACTGCAGCCTGTCTCTTTTCCCTGCCCTGGTTTCTGCTGTACCCCAATCAACAGGCTGTCTGCTCTCCCTGAAGCCCCATTCTCTTCTTCCAGTAGGACTCTGTAACCAGTACTTGTACTGTTCATGGCCCCAACTCCCAACTGCCTGAGACACCTTTCTTAAAGAGGGCCCCTGGATGCTCCCACCTGACTGAGCTCCTGGAGAAGAGTAGAGTATAACAGGGCACAGTGGAGTGACACTTCTACCCCATGTTGGTTTAAACTGAAACTATTCCAGGCCCATGTGGAGCCTTGAAGAAAAAGTCTAGATATAAAGTCTTGGCTTTTTGCCTCTAAGGCTTTAATCTCACTCCACAGAACCACCTGGGGAGCCAGAATGCCTTTAACATCAGGTTGCAGAGGGACGGCCTTGTCCCAATTCTGCTCACCCCACAGGACTAGTAGCCCCTACTGAAAGTCCACAGCTTCCAAAAACCAACTAGGGAACAAAAGATAGAAGAGAGACCTGCCAAGTTGGCTTCTGCTCAGGAGGTGCTGAGCAGAAGAGGCTGGGATCCAGTGGGGCCCTGGTTCTATGCGACCTTCAGCAAACTTGGTGATCTCCCCCCACTGTGATCATTTGGCTCCTGCTACCAAATAAAAAGGCGAAGCTTGGCATGCCCAGCAGTATTGCAGGTCGGGGGTGCCCCAGGAGAGAGGACAATGGGGAGCAGTAACACAACCAAATTCCCCAGTCTGGGACAATTGTGTCTTCTGCACATGTGGTTGCCTTATTTGGAGTCAGGAGTTCTGCTCCCACACTGTTTGCAAGCATTACCATGGAAACACAGTGTAATCCTAAACATTTTCTGCCTGTGACTTTTTCCTCTCAAACCAGTCAGCTCAAGGGTAGAGTGGAGGGGGGGGGGGGGGAGGATTTACTCGTGAAGCTCCATATTCAGTGTCCAGGAACAACTCTGATTACACTTCTACCTACTTCCTATCAGGGACATTTACCTTCCAGGACTAGACCAGTGCAGACCAACCCAGGCACTTCCCACTCTGCTAACATGGGAGTCAGGGCTGAACACAAAAATCAAGGTCAGTGCCCGTTTTTTCCACTGATAGTCAAAGCTGAGAGCAATAGTGGGGCCCACCACTTACCCAACTGGGCCCCTCCTGTCCAGCCCCCGCTCAGCCTGCTGTCTGCAGGGTCATCTCTGTGTAGGAAGCGGAACCATCTAAGTCCTTTCTTGGACTGTGGAGGGCAAGGAGAATTTGCAGCAAGCAGCTGCTTCATCACTCTCTGGCTGCCAGCAGCTGAGCTTTCCAGGGTGATGAACACACAGGGGTGCACTTAGTCCTTGCTGGAGGCAGCAGGGTCGCCCCGGCCCCACAGGGGTCGTCTCCTGTGACTTGGTGTGGAGTATGCAGACTGCAGTCCACATACCAGGGGCTGAGGGAACATACAGGGCTAGTGACCTCCTCAGCCTCGGCCTGACCTCTTTCCCCACCCCTAATTTCTGGCTGGTTCCTGAAGCCCTTTAACCTCCTGGGCCCTCTCACCTCGCCTTAGCTCCAGAAAGGGAAAGCCTTCTGACAAGCCCATCATTTACCTGTGGTGTGGGAGGCTCCACTTTCCGCTTCTTCTTCTGGTTCTGCTTATTGGTCCTGGGATAGACCATGAGCATCTCCAGCCATCTGCAGAGAGAGGAAAGAGCCCCAAGTTGGACCCCTGCTCTCGGGGACAAGGACTCTCCTTGTTGGGTGGTCCGGGCACAAGGCACACTTCCTACCTGGAGGTGACCACCTAGTGGCTAGGCTGCTGGGCACCTAAGAGGGGCAGAGTATCACCCAAGATTAGAGCTTGCTACTGCTGGGGCATGGTTAAGTCCAGGTTGTGTGGAACTAGACTTGTGGCTGACGGGCAATGACCACAGGCAGATGGGGACCCCGTGGCAGGCTCATGTGAGGCAGGCTGCACTTTGGAGGCAGACTGACAGGGCCCGTCACTTATTTCCATTACCAACCTTATCTTCAAGGCTTAGATGTAGTTCTAAAATTGCCCTCCCAGCATGAAGTCGGCAAACACATGGATGGATTGCAACTGGGAGCCGTGTAGGCCTACTGAGGCCAGACACCAGACTCATGCTATCAAAGTTCCCCAAGGCAGGTCACTCTGAAGGGCTCAGAGCTGACCTCCCAGACTTATTCACTCACTTCTGGGTCCCAGCTGCACAGTAGGTGTGCCAGGCACTCCAGTTTCGGGAAAAGCCTGACAGAGCTGCCCTCATACCCTGCCCAGGGACCTGTTACCAGGAGATCAACTAGCCCAGTGCAGGGAAAGCAACAGGAAGTGTAGAAAGACAAACAGGCTTGGATTTAGATCTGGCTCTGCCACTCTCTAACCACGTCAGGTGGCTCCCAGCCTCTTCTGCTTCAGTCTCATCTCTGAGGCCATCACACAACATCTCTAAGAGGCATCACAGCTACTTACTCTATACAGAACTTTAGAGAAGACAGAGGGAACAAGAACAGATGGGAGAAAGGGGGACAGGAAGAGCAGGCTTGATGGTGAAGGGTGGCCCCAGCATCCTCTCCAGAGGGCGAGGTACCACAAGTAGTTTCACATCTGCCCAGGTTGTATTGGGTCTGCTGCCAGCTTGCATGGGGCCCAGTGCTGACAGCTGGCTGCAAAGAAAGGCAAGGCCTGCACTGCCAGCACCCTGGATGGAGGCTGCAAGTATCAGCAGCACTTGGGCCTGGGGCAGGGAGAAGGGCTTGTGTCCTTAGAAATCAGAGATGCATCTATAATTTGGGGCAGAGGGAAAATAGGGCAGGACGGGAGGTCATAACCAGCAGCCTTCTGGAACAGCCCTGGGAAGATGTGCCCACTGTGCTGTGACAGCTGATGGCCAGGGAAGCAGGTTTGTGTGTGGGGATCGCAGTCACCCTTATCCAGCCCAGGTAATACTTTATTTGCTGGGAGAATGAACAGTCGCCTGTGCCATAGGAGCCTGTCACCTGCAGATGACGGCATGGGTCCCAAAGCCAAGGAGGCCATGACTGCATCTGCAAAGCCAGCAGATGAACAGACTCTCTCAGGGCCTCACTCAGGCAATGTGAGGAGTTTAAATAATTCTTCTTCTTTTTAAAAAAAGATTTATTTATTTATGCATACAGAACTGGGGTACAGGTGGAGGTGCAAGGGTGGTGAGAATATTCACCAGAGACAGAGTGGGGAGCAGAACAGGCAGACTGACAAAGGACACTGCTGAGGGGAGCAGCAGGAAGGTCTGCTGTGCCATGTGGGTCACCCCCTGGGCCAGGGATGGAACTCAAGCTGAAGTGGCCAAGGCTAGCTTCGTAGTGCTGTGCTTTAACCCGCTGAACCACCAGGGAGAGCCGAGGAGTTTATCTTCTTGTGGAATTGCAAAGACCTGCTTCCCCACCTTCTGAAGGGGCTGAAATTTCTTTCGGACATTGCAAGGCCCTCCTGCAGAAGTTCTCTTTAGAAGCTTTACTCAGAAGGGTACTCACTCCCACAGGAGCTCAGTATGTGACAGGAATGTGACAGGAAGATGCAGGTCTTCTGGGTGCCCTGAGCCCTTGCAGATTAGCTGAGTGATTGAACTGTAAACATTAGAGAGCTGGAGAGAGCTGAGAGCCTTAAGGATGAGGTGTTGAAGGAGGAGTGAAAAGACCTGGGCTGTGGCTGCATTGCTGACTAAATAGAGCTTTTGGAGCTGTGCCTGAATGGCACTGAGACTCTAGGGCAGAGCAGGGTTGGGGATGGGTAGAGATGCCCAGCCCAGGTACAGATGACCAATATAGGCCCCTGTACCTAGGTTTCTCATGGAAGCCCAGAAGAAAGCATCTAGAGGCATCCAGATGTTATGCTAATAAATTTCACCCAGGAAAGAGAGGCAAGGGGTGAATATGGACATATGGTGCAGAGATGGGCACATGGGATGTGGCTGAGCAAACTCCCCAATTCTGGCTGGTGTTCAGCGAGGTATTTTACTTGTTGAAACTGAAGCGTTTCCCCTTCTAACTCCATCTATTCTATACTGCAATAATCAGCCTGGTCCTCTGACCTCCTGGTTTGTATTCCCTCCCAAAACTTTCTGAGCCCCCCAAAGCATGAATCCAGGATCCAGAGTCCCAGTTCCTGGCAGGTCCACCACCACGTACATGCACTGTGTGTGCTGGGCCTGCAAGCTCACCCCGACACTGTCAGCGATCTTAACGGCTGGGTCCGCTTTCCATGTCCCACGGCCCCCCAAGCCTCTGCCCAGGGAGAGATATATACTCCAGAGACTTTCCATTCCAAGCAGCCGATGTGTGCAGCAGCATCAGAGTGGCTCCTGCATGGGGTACTAAGGACAGTGACACAGATCCACCCTCGAAGGCCTCCCACTGGCTGAGGAAGCCAGCCATGTAACACACAAACCCTATTTTTTATAAGTGCCTCAAGTAGGGAGGGCATCTCAGAAGAGTGGTTACGTAGGCTGACTAACAGCAGGAGGAGGAGGGTCATTACAGACAGAGGGGAAGGTGGGAGCAAAGACAGGCAAGTGGGGTTTGCAGCAACTAGTTGTTCAGTGTTCAAGGACCTGAGGGTGGTGGCATGGTGAGGCTGGAGGGCAGGGGAAAGGCCTTTCATGGCCAGCCCAGGAACTTGGACTGAACCCCCAGGTGATGATGTTTTAGGCAGAAGAGAGGCACGTTTAGATATGGTTTGGAGACTGAGTCTTCCTGGTGGCGTGGCAGAAGACTGGCAGTGCAGTGAGAATGGAAGTGCAGCAGTAGAGGTCCCAGGAAGACATGGCACCAGGCAGGGCCAGCAGAGGGAGGTGCTGGGATAAGCAGGACACAAGGGGGCAGCCTTGGCAAGTGTTCGCAGACACAGGAATGAAGCAAAGGCACAAGGAAGGTGAGGCCAGTTTCTGGCATGGTGTGATATGACACACGGTGGCGCTGTGGACAGACAGGGAACTAAGAGGAAAGAAAGTGAAGGCAGTACCGCCCAGTTTGTGGGAGACCCCAACTTGGTGGGCAAAAGCATACCCTCCAGATGACATTGAGCAGACTCACCCACTGATGATCTCCTTGGTCTCTGCCCGGATGAAATGCTCCTTCTCAGGGGTCAGAATGCACAGGGAGAACTTCTGGCCTGTTCGGCCCTCCCCGTCCACCACATCCGTGCACTGGTTCATGTTGATGGTACCCTGAGGGAGGGTTGTGGGCTGCAAGAAGACAGGGCAGGGAGTCACCTGGGGTCACAGGATGGGGCGGGCAGAGTAAGGCAGCAAACTGTCGCAGCATCCCCAGACTTTCTAAACTCTGTCACCCCTTGGTCATTAAGCCTCTTAAACTGTGCAGACCCCCAATTATAACAAAGGTATGGAGTGTACTCTGCCTTATTGAGCCCCACAGCCACACTTCCTACCTACCTACCCACCCCCCTAGGAAGAGCAGTGACAGGCCTGGATTTCTTAGAGGACATCCAGCTGGACATTCCATCCCAGCTGGAGAACAATATCCCAGCTAGCATTGGAGGAAGGGGGAGACAGGAAGGGGACAGCTCTATGAGGACAGCTGGATGACAGTGGGAGCCAAGAGCCTAGTCTCAGAGGGGCTACTGATCCAAGAGAGCAGTGAGAAAAAGCTCCAGAGGAGGTTGTGCTATTTCAAAATAGCAAGGTTATTTTTAGAGGCAAGGAGGAGGCCAGGGAGAAGCCACATCCTTGAAGGCAAGCTGTGGGGCTGACAGGCTGGAGCCACACACATCATAAACACTTTAAAGGTAGGCCAAGCTGCTTGGGCAAAACGATCCACTGCCACCTAACCGGGCTCGGGAGAGAAACGTCATGACATTCCTTCTTTTTCTGACAGCAAAGGTAGTTAGGCACTGAAATTAGGGCTAGTAAACAAAAACCAAGTTTAAGAAAGTTGTAAGAAACCTCTACTGAGGTTAGATAGGGCCTCCTGAAGATGGCTTTTGAGTCCTGGATCTGCTGGTCTCCACTGGCCTCAACAGGAGAATGTTTTTAGAAAGAAGAAAGTTGCCATAGTTGCTCGACAGGCAGAACTCCTCCCTGCAGGAGCCAGGAGGTGCTCCCTACAGCAAGCCGAGGGAGGGCAATCCTGGCAGGAAAGGGGCAACTCTCAGCTCCTAGCTTAGGGGCAGCAGCCAGTTTTCCATGTTGCACTTCCCTCAACCTCATTCATGGAGAAGTAAGTAGCAGGGGAGAAAAGGCCAAGGCAACCTGCTGGGGTTGCATCATGGGTGTGTCCCTTCTGGAGCTCTGAGAGTAAGTCCTCACCTGTGCAAGCAGAAGGGATGGGTTGGTCTGCCTTGGATGCTGAGCTCAGGCCAACTATTCCCCACGATCAGAAAGCTATCCTCTGTCAAAGGGAAGATAAAGCTTCCAGACCCCTCCAATATAAGCCCCAACCATCTTGCTAGTACTTTCAGGCTGATCTCGGAGCTCTCCTGATTTACCACCACCTCCCACCTCCCACCCTGGTGCAGGTCTGCAAGAGCCAGACCTGAGGGGTACGGTGATCCCAGAGATCTCTACCCAACATGGTCGCAGGCCCTCTTGCCCACAGGAGAGAAAGTCAGCTTCCGGATTACAAGAAGCTATTCCTTATGGGCCTGTGGGATCATCTTGTTCTCCTTTGGTTCAGGATAAAGGTGGCAGGTTAGGGATGTCTTAGGGCAAGGCTCCCAGGGAAACCTCTATCTTCAGGCCAGGAAAAGCATGTGCGCTTGGCTACGGGTGAGTCTTCCTTCAGAGCTGATTCCTGGGTGTAGGGGTGAGTCTCTCCTGCGTGTGTCCATACCTAAGTCAAGCCTGGTGTGCTGGGTGATTGAAGCAGCCTTATGATAGTTATCTCTACCAGGCAGGCGGCTATGGAAGTTCCTTGAGCTAAGAAAGGGAATTGGGTATATCTGTCCTGTAGAGGGGCTTTTCAGGAGCAGTAGGCTAGCGAGGTGGTCTGGGACCCACCCTCCTGCACGCCTTCTGGCTGGAGTGGTTCCCACACAACTTGGGCCTGCATCCTCTTCCCCAGATGAACAATGTCCCCACAGTTGCAGGATGTGTCCTTCACCCCAGGGCAGACACACATGATCATTCTAGCCTTTCCAACCTGCTCCAGTCCTCCAGAAGTTTTAGCCCCACACCTTCGCTGGCATTAAGCCAGTCACCCATCTGAACTGTCTTTGGGCAAATTAAAGGTGGTTACTTCAGAGTACAGACTCCCCAGTGCATAATCACACATGTTCTGTGGCTCCAGAAAGGGTATGGTCCTCTGTGTGAATTGAGAACACCCAGGTATGGACACACATGGTCTACTGTGAGGATCAGGATGTGAGCTGTGAAGGATGAGCATGCCTAAAGGACTCATTTCCAGAATGGCCAGGAGTGGGCTCACAGAGTTGGAGAGGAGGGGCAGAGGGCTCTTCCAAGGGGACTCTTGTGCCCTCAGTGTCTGCCCCGACCCTTGGGCTCACGAGTGCACAATGCACAGGTCCACTTATGACATACAGGTGTACAGACTTGATAAGTCATCTACCTGCACCATGGCACCAAAACACTATAAACTATAACACACATACACAGGTAAGTTAAATTTGGATAATAAACATGTCAACAGAAATCCTAGTATTTTGTTTTCAACGGACCAACCCAGTTTGCCCCACTTCGGCCCGGGAATACACACTCCTCCTTGGAGACTTCTGCTCCCTGGCTTGGGTCACGAAAATGTGTACCATCCCCTCATGCACTGTCCGCACGTTCATGAGGCACGGGGCCGCCAGCGACAGACAGGAATTCCCAGCCAGTCCTGCAGCTGGTGTGGCCATGGGTCCCAGTCACTAAGCCCACTGAAAGATTTCCCACAAACTCTCTGGGGCTGTTTCCTCATGTGTGAAGTGAGGGCTCTCCCCCTCCCTCTAGAAGTCTTTCAGAAGCTTCAGTGAAAGGCAAAATTGTAACAAGCTAGGAATGAAGGTGAGAACTGTACTACCTGTTTGTCAGGACCTCATTATTGTAACTTCTTTCATACCCCTGTAAATATTTCTCACTGTGGCAGGCATCACATAGTCCCATTACATAGCTAGAACAGGGAGCAGTGAGAACACAGTGGCCATAAAAGAAAGGAAACTGGTCCCGGGGTGCTTACCAACTACCTGAATGAAAAGTTCTTCCGGACGCTCACCCTCACTACCTGAGAGCACCACTGCCCCAGCACTCCTCTCCTGCTTGTGCCTGTGTGCCTGTGGGATAGGGTGTCACATTCGGTGTGCTCACTGAGTCCATGCATTCTCTGACTACCCCCATAGCCCTCAGAAGCTGTGTCACCAATGACCCATTACTCTTCACTCAACTGCGCCCCTGCACTCACAGAGCTTCCCCAAGGGTCCCCAGGGCTGGCACCCCACCTCTGCTGTCCTGGAGCTATCGCAGCACTGGGGAGGCAATGTGCTGCTTAACAAGTTATTTCACAGGGAGGCTGGCTTGTGCCCTTACACAGTAAGAGAAATATCTGGGTTATAACCCAGATCCAGTCAGGGATCCCTCTACCCCTAACACAGTCCACAGAGAAACCAGCTTGTCTGACAAGCTCTCTGCCCTAATTCTATACCTCCAGAGGTTAGGAATCCAGGACTTCTCTGAGGATAATAAGCATCACCTAGTTTTGCCTATTTTGTTTAAAAAAAAAAAAATGGCTGTGTGCAGGTCGTCTGACTGTGCTATGCCACCATATTATAGGTTCAGTTCTCGCCTTGGAAATGTCACTGATGTCCTGAGTCATCTAGGAGCCTCTTGTAACTCTTCTGGCTCCACACACCACCAACTAGGACAGCAAAGAGTTGCCACCAGGCTGAAGATCTTTCAAGCATGAGGTGACCATGCAGAAAGCCCAGACAAGGGCCTCTCTCTAGAGACATGACCACATCTTGCCAAGAACCTAGCCTTCCTACCTGTAACTTGTCCACTGGCACCCAAAAGGCCAAGGGAAACTGTCTATTGCAATGGAGGCGCCTGTCAGCGGCCCACTTAGGAAGATCCTGACACAGGAGCCACACCATCTGTAGGCCAAAGACGTACACTGGAAAACAGGCCCTCTATTTTCTGTTGGATACTGGAAATTTGGGGAGGTGCACTTCTAAGAGCCAGAATGAAAGCAGGACAGAAGAGGTTACACATACAAGGCGTGGATGGATGGGAATCCATTTCATCTCCCATTTCCCATTCAGAGGCCCATACAAACAAAGGCTTTACTTTAGGACAGAATCCCAAGGTCAGAAAGTGCCTCTGAAAGTAAAGTTTAACTCCACCCACTGCGTGAGGTCCTGCAACAGACGCATACTTCACAAACTTAGCTGGTAGCAACCCATGGAGAACAACTTTCCCAGTGGGAAGGACACGTACCTGTGCAGTCACACCAGTTAAGTCAAACACCATGGAACAATAACTTGGCCACGTGCACTGCATTTTATGTTAGTACCTGGTCACAGTCACACTGATACACTTAAGGAGCAGGAAGCACTGCTCCTGGTGACAACAGTCAGCCAGCACAACTGCACACTGCAGAGTGGGATGCAGTGCCCTCCAGCAGGACAGAGGACACACCTACAGCAGGAGCACCACTCAGTGAGTGCCCACATGGGCCACACAGGGCACTAAATAAGTTCTGTAGGTAATGATTGATGGCAGCCAGAGGAGGCAGGCATGATCACAGACCTGTTCAGAGAATTGCAAGCTGGGGCTCAGAGTAGCCAAGGACTGGACGCCCCTTGGAGGCACTTAAAACAAATGTGGCCTCTCCTTGTTATCTTTTCCTTCTGGTCTTCACAACCACTTCTACACAGTCATGCCCAGGATTACTGACAGAACCTGTAGTCGGCCATGAGGTGTGACCCAGTGGGGGCACTTGCTAAGCTCACCGCAACCAAATCAGAGAGGATCATGACCACCTCAGTCTTCCCAAAGGCAATGATGTGGTGCCCACAGCTCCCTAGCAGACCTGGCAGGCAGCCCTGCTGGAAACTTGGTTAGGCATCTGGAGCTAGGTCCAAGGAGGAACAAGCTTTTCCTGGAACTGAGTAGACCCAAATTCTCGAAGAAGGTGGCCCTTGAGAAGCTCTTGTCAACTAACGGTAGTCTGGGCTTTCCAAGGGACTTCCATGGAATCAACAAGAAGGAGCCCACAAGTGGGGGTAATATTTGCC